ACCACATACCAAGAAGCCATAACTTGTCCTGAAAAGAACCATTGGTTAGAAGCCATGAATGAAGAATACAAATCCCTAACTCAAACCGTATTTGTGAATTCGTACTCTACCTCAAAAGCGTAAGGCTATTGGGTGCACATGGGTCTTCAAGAAGAAGTTGAACTCATAGAGGGGAAAGTAGAAAAATATAAGGCTAGGCTAGGAGCCGAAGGGTTCCCCCAAAAGGAAGGGATTAACTATGATGAAGCCTTTTCTCCTGTTACGTAATTTCCATCCATTAGGATCCTTATAGCTATAGTTGCTCACTTTGATCTTGAACTTCATCAAATGGATGTGAAAACAACTTTTCTCAATAGGGAACTAGAAGAAGAGATATACATAAAACAACTAAAGGGTTTTGTAGACCAAGGAAAGGAGGCCCTAGTTTACGAAATTCATAAATCCCTTTATGGTCTAAAACAAGTATTGTGATAGTGGTACATCAAATTTCAAGAAACCTTGTCCAAGGTGGGGTTTACCTCAAATCCCCTTACTGCATTTATAACATGCTAAGTGGGAGTGATGTTGTGTTTATATCCTTTTATGTAGATGATATGCTAATAGTTAGTAGCTCAATGGCCCTTGTGTTGGAAACAAAAAATTCCTTTCGCTACACTTTGATATGAAAGTTTTAGGGGAAGCTTCATGTGTGTTGTGCATCAAGATAACAAGAAATAGAGTAAACCAAACCATTCAACTTTCCCAGTCAACTTATTGCAAAAGGGTTTTGGAAACGTTTGAAATGGATAAGTATAAGCCAATATCGACCACTATTAACAAGAAGACACAACTTAGTCTATAAATGTGCCCTAATGACAATGACGAGAAAAAGGCCATGTAAAAGAATACCCTATCGTTGTGCAGTAGAATCTCTGTTGTATGTCATGTCAGGAACAAGACCAAACTTGTCTTTTGCCATGACCATAATTAGCTGGTTCCAATGCAGCCCAGGGATTGAACATTGAAAGGCGGTTAAGAGAGTTCTAAGATATTTAAAAGGAACTAAGAACTATGCACTTACATATATATGGAGGGGGATAAAAAATTGTTGTGCAAGGGTATACAGATGCAAGTTTTTTAAGTCACCACGATGATATGAAATCCACATCTGGATATATATTCATGCTTGGTGATGGCATTATTTCTTGGAAATCAAAGAAACAGGATGTCGTGGCACTATCCACCATAGAATCAGAATATGTGGCATGTTGTCTGGTAGCCAAGGAGGCTGTATGGATAAAGGAGTTCCTCAATGAACTACAGTTTGAGCCTATGCGATGCGCATGTGCAAGGATCTTCTGTGACCACCAAGCCGCAATTTGTATGTCTAAGGAGCCACGCTTTCATATGTCCAAGCATACCAAACCGTAGTACTACTATCATGTTCGAAATGAGGTACAACTTGGAGAGATAAAGGTCACATACCTCCCACATAGGCAATGTTAGTAAACCCTTCGACAAAGGGGGTAGTAGAAAATATTTTTATAAAACATGTAGGCTGAGAGAGAGTGAGGAAGAGAGATTGTAAGGTCTTCATAGGCCTAGTGGGAGATATTGGAATTTTGTAGCCATTTAAAGGTCTTATGAGGGCATGTAATGAAATTTTGATAATAGTGGAATAATGAACTCTAGTGGGAGTATGGTCCAAAGGGGCCAAAGTTGGCAATACTGATGCCAAAACTCAAACCATGCTTGATGAGCTAGGCCGAGTTGGGTTTTAAAATCCTAGACTTGGGCATATAGCACAACCGAGAAGAGTTTGCAGGGTTAGCCCTTGATGAGGTCAAAGAGATGACTAGGGTAGTTAGCCAAAGAATGTAGTGATTTTTGTATGTGATTGGTAGGCATGATTATCACACGACATGTATATATCATAGTCGTATTGGGAGGTAGACACCATTGAGGGTGTACATGTGCAAGAGATAGCCCCCATGCACCAATTGTAATGTATGTGCACAGATCTGTGTGACCTAAACTTGTCTTTAGGGGGGAACCTGTAGTCCATAGATTAGGATTGTGTTTTTTTTAGCTATTGGTTGGCTTTGGTAGCCCAATCATGAACCCTTCTGATGGACTGTGGGTCATGGGTACTATTGGGTCAGTTTGAGAAAGCGAGTGTGGTTCATGGTCTCTAGTAGAAATGGAGTGCCTTAGTATTTTTACATCTAGTGTGGTTCCTTAACGAAGTTGGAACTGAATCCCATTAAATTAATTTAGAAATAATTAATTTGATTTTAAATTATTTTTATATTAATAGAAATAATCTATTAATAGGCTTAAACAAATTTATAAATAGGCTTAAACTGCATTTTCAGGTATTTAATAAATCAGAGAGAAAGAAAATAGTAAAATATTTTCTCAAAATCATTAGACTCATGGGCCCCACCAATTGAGATCATGTGGGGAGGTGTGTGGGGCCCACTAGAGCCCCGTAAGTGGCACACCCCACATTTAGTATACAAGTTACTTATTTTGTGTTGACATGCAAGATGCTATTCAATCAATTGAATTGAAACACAAATTTTAAAATGGAAGCTAATTGACTTTTCAAAAGAGGCATGTGCAGAAAATAAAATGAAAGAGAATTATATTTTCCATGTATTAAATATTTGATGGGATTAGGTCATAGCAGTTGAGGAATAAGATTCTAACACCTTCCATAAGATCATGATGGCTGATCTATGGATTGTAAGACTAAGATTTCTCACCCCACAGGTCTCTTTTGATCTATGGTCTTGATCAAATCTCCATAGGATGGCTAAACCCTAACCCTAATCACAAGTCTATATATTGTCTTATTTTGAGGCGTCCCATTCTCTACAACACAAGTAACATCTCTCTCACTCTATCTCCAAAAGTGGCACGCCACTCTCTCTCATCTCTCTAGCCTCATCTCAGCCCTTTCTCTCATACTTCGAAAATTTTAGAGAAACAAAAAGGGGGCACGCCGCGCACACATAGATCAAGGGACCAAGGGCCCAAGCTTGTTTTGTTACTTGCATACTGCTTAAGAGTTCTAGCCAAGGCTTCCCACATTTATGAGATCTAAGAAAGATCTTGATCCCGTTTGCTATCGGAAGAGGAGACCACGAGTGGGGTGAAACATGTTCAATTGAGGTAATCCTTTGGCAATTTATTTTCGTTTGCTGCAGTCTATGTTTCTTGTTCCCAAGTCCATGTTTATGTAATTTTCTTAATGCAATAAAGAGTTGTATTAAGTGGTAGCAATTGAGAATCCAAATTTGTGTTCTTACTTCATTCTTTTGAGTTTATTTTGTACTTTGGACCTTTGTAAGTGTTCTAGCTGGCTAAGAAAAAGAAAAATTTTAAACTACATAAACCGTGCTACTTCACCGTGTTTAACTTTCACATCCTGCAAAGAGGGGAACTAACCATGCGTGTTTGTCAATCGACACTCATTTGACCAAATAATCTAGGCCCTCATTTGAGTATTGATGCATGATATACTTTGGGAAGCGACCTGTCATGTTTTAGTCGAAGGAATGACCCATCGATGTGGTCACAGACTGAGGAAGAGAATATTGACAAAAAGTCATATATATATATACACAGACACACGTCTGTCATGTATGTAAGCTAAAAATGGTGTTACCCCACCTCATCTCCACTTTTGATTGTGTGAGGTACCTATATGGCTAGAAAAAGCCTCCATATTGGTCTCCTCCAAATAACGAGGATTTGAAGCTCTATGATGTTCCAATCCCATAAAGCCACTATCCACTCCAATGGATGGTGCAGATCTGATTTTGGAGAAGCAATGGATTTAGAACATTTTTTTAGGTTCCAAATCATATCTTATTTGAAGGGGACTGTTTTAGAGGCTTTCAGGAGCTTTTTGGGTCCTCACTCAAGGAAAAGTGGTGGATGGGATGAAGGAATCTCATTTTCTTCATGATCGTTGGGGTCCACAAAAATTTTCCCTAGATGTGCATGTCAGGTATGCTGTGTGTGTGTTTTTGCTTCTTGTGAGTTATTTGTATTTCTATTCATTATGAGTTTCTGAGATTGGACAAGAGCTGTAGGGGAAAAATTCTTTGTTTCATGTGCTGGAAGAGTAATGGCAGATAAAATGTAACTTGTAATGATCAAAGTGCCATGGATAGCTTCATGAACAGCGTCTTCCCAAACACCATTAGGTCCCCAGAATCGGAAGGAATGCTTACCACATGTTATTTCTGGACTAGATATAAAGTTGTAAGATAATAAATACCAAGTAGAGGAGCCAGAATCTATGTGACTGTTTTCGGTGCTAGATTAGATGGTGATCTCATGCTCGTCTGGAGGCTTCAGATGGCTAGTTAATTGGAAGTCGGAAGGTGTTCTATTTGAGTGTTTCTTTACTTCTCAATCCCATGTCTTGGCATGTGTTAAAGGAATCTCATGGTAATGACTTTGGAGAAGAAGGTTATTATGAGCTTCAACTTGCTGTTGTTCTTATAATTGTATGGAGCAGCTCTCTGCTTATTTACTTCTCTGAACTCAAGTTGGCAGCAGCCAGCCTTTTACATTTCTGATCTACTTTTTGTTACGTAAAGCTGGGGGTTTCAACATTCCACGTAGGTGCTGGTATAAAGAACTCTAGCACTTGGCCACACTGGGAGGCCTCATAGCCAGTAGTTAGCACAAGTGAGAGGCATCTACAATTCAAGGATCAACATTTAAATGTTGTTGAAATAGCTAGTTGATTGGACTAGATTTTTATTTTTGGTTATTGAGTTAAAACTAGAAGGAAGGTTTGGTATGCAAGTTATTGGAGTTAAATAATAAAATGTTTGTTTTGGTGCAGAGTTTTATTCGCATATATTGAGGTTAAATGACTCTCTGAGATTCATATTAGCATTCTGTTTTATTCGCATATATTGAAGTTGAATGACTTTCTGAGCTTCCTATTAGCATTCTGTATTTTCCTCTTTATGTAACCATCACAATTAGTGTTGTAGGATTGGAGCAGAAGAAGTCAAAAATAGACTCAAGAAACTTGGAGCAGATGACGTGTTCACAGAAAGCCAATTGGAAGTGAAGAATATCAAGTCTCTTCTGGTATCATCATCCTTTCTTTATACTTCTTCTGAAATTGAGTACCATTTGGAGATAAAAGTAGTCTTTCAAGTGTGAGATTGTTCTTTTAACACGTTTTAATTAGTTGATCTGCCTTGCATAATTCACTAGGATGTTGCAGTTTCCAGCTCCACTGAATTTCTTTCTTCTTGTTTCAAATTCTTTTAGGGTAATCTATCTGAACCAGTGTTGGGCTTCAATTGCACTGGTGGTAATGCAGCTTCTTTAGTCCTTAGATTCTTAAGGTACACGCGTTTCTCTTTTTGTGATCTTCCAAAAAGAATGTGTGCTTGTGAGAACACATGCGTGCTCCCGTGCACATAACTGCATGTATGGATGATTGATCAAATTGATGAAGGAATGTTACAGGCAGGGGGGGACGATGGTGACCTATGGAGGCATGTCGAAGAAACCAATCACTGTTTCTACCTCCTCTTTCATATTTAAGGTAATGAGGTCACAAATATAAGTTTCGTGCAAGTTTCTTCTCTTTATAAGCTGTAGGACTTGTTGATAAATAGACCTAGACACAAACAACCTAGAAATAGATATTATGGGAAATTATGGCATCCAGTCTATGTTTATGCTTTGAGCATCCACAAGCATGCTAGACACCGTTGGATCTAAAATTTTGAGATAAAGTGCCCTACAGGATTCTTGTTTTCTGAATAGGTAGCTTCAACTTCTCCTAAATCTTCATGCTGTAATCAAGATTTCGGTTCTGCCTTTGTTAATAGAAAGTTCTCCATTAAACTAAAAGAAGAGGACCATCAGCAATAGTTTAACAAAAAGAAAACAGAATGTAGAAGCTGAGAAAATGCGAACTTGGGTGGGTCAACCCTTGACCTAGACCCAACACCACCAGTTATAAGTTGGACCTTGACTTTTTTTGGGTCAAAGTCAATTGCGCCCGGACCGATCAATAAAAAATATATAAGAAAACAGATAATATGTAGTTTATATTGTATACTTAATGTTATTAAAATGTATTTATACTAATATATACCAGGTCGGGTCGGGTCTGGTCGGGTTGGGTTGACCACTGATCCCTGTACTCGAATCCGAACCCAAACCCAAACCCGACCCAGGTCAAGTTAGGGGCAAATGGACCTAGCCCCAACCCATCAAGTCCAAAATCTCCAGACCCGAACCCAATTAGGTCGACCCGACTCAATTCCCACACCTAATGACATCAAAAATAGCCGTGAGAAAAGAGAAAGTGGAGGATGGTAGCTCAGAGGGGCATATTCAATTTTGGGGCATACTTTCATTTTGACAACCCAACTATCTGTTTGTTTTCCACTCTCCCGACTCGGGCTTGAACTTACTCTGCTTCCCTCTGCCCCTCTCTCTCTCTCTCTCTCTCTCTTAACGTTGCAAGGAACACCCACTAATTCAAGGTCCTCACATCTGTACAACCAAAATCCAATGCATATTTTTCTAAAAATATGTCTGCTCGGTAAGTATGGTGATTCATTTTTTCAATACCTCAAAATAAGAATAATTACACGTAAAAAAAAATTGGGGATCTAATCTTTTGAATTTGTTTATTCTAGGAAAGTCTATGTAAAGAATATATTTGCCACTTTTTTGCCAAAATCATCCCAAAAGAAACTATCGTCTATTATGAAAATGCAGATTATACTTAATAACTTGTTTCCCCCCCAAAATGCAGATTATACTTAATAACTTGTTTCCCCCCCCAAAATCCCTCAAGGAAAGTGGGGGTAAAAACCATCTCTTCTGAAAGGGTATTGTGACATGATGTCAGCCACGATTGAGGTTTCATTCCATGACTGGACGCTATCTTCTATTATGAAAATGCCGAGTATACTTAATAACTTGTTTCTCCCCAAAAAAAAACCATCTCTTCTGAAAGGGCATTGTGGCATGATGTCAGCCAGGATTGAAGTTTCATTATACGATTGCACCATTTTCTAAAGAGGACATTCTGTATATGTTTGTATGTTTTTCTTTCTGGCTTGTTACAATTGAGAGAGAAAAAGTCAACAATTTCACCCAAAAAAAAAAAAAGATTTGAGAGAGTAAATTTAAGGACAAGATAATGCCTATTACAGCCCATTATACAAGACTGTTACCGTCACAACACTCCCCCTCTAGCTGGAGCATATATGTCATAGATGCCTAGCTTGTCCAAAGTATCCTTTAGTCGAACTTGGTTAGAGGCCTTAGTATGTCTGCCAATTGATTCTCAGATCGAACAAATGGAGTAGTATTGTGTTTGAAGCGACCTTTTCTCTGACGAAGTGGCAGTCAACTAAAATATGCTTGGTTCTTTTATGAAATATAGGATTTGAAGTGATAAATTTGTTGCTTCATCACCACACTGTAAAGGAATAGGAGCTTATACAATAATATCCATCTCTTACAAAAGAGAACAAAGCCAAATTATTTCACATATAGCACTTGCAATTGCTCAATACTCGGCTTCTGTTTAAGATAGAGCTACAGAACTGCTTCTTAATCGTCCAGGTGAGTAAATTACCACCATCATAAAGTAGGCACTGTTGGGTTTCGATCAAGAGAACACCCAACCCAATCTATATCTCAAAAACCTTGTCCATCAAGGTGACCATGACTTGTATAAAGTAGCCTTCTCCCTGGAGCAGATTTCAGATATTGTAAAATGTGAAAACAACCACTAAGTGATGGGAGCATGGCGCATTGCATAAACTGACTTGCCACACTTACAACATATGTAATGTCTGGCCGTGTTATAGTCAAATAAATATCTACCCACTAATCTCTAATATACACCAAGATTACTCAGAGGCTCTGAGTGCTGATCATACAATATGTGGTTAACCTCAATAGGAGATTCCACTGGTTTAGCTTCAAGGATTCCCATGACATTGAGAAGATCGAGAGTATACTTTCTTTGAGATAAAAAAAATTCCTTGTTTAGAGACCATGTCACCTCTATTCCGAGGAAGTATTTTAATGGACCAAGATCCTTGCTGTCAAAAATACCCACCAAGAGATCTCACTCCATGAATAAAAGTATTCTTCATGTCTAATTGCTGGAGTGGCCATTTCCTGTTTATTGGAATAAATAAAAGTACCCGTATTGATTTCAATTTTGCTACAGGAGCAAAAGTCTCCTTATAGTCAACCTCATATAACTGTGTAAAATCCAATGAATTCAGACCATTTGGTTTGTGCTCCACGGTATACACCCACCTATATCCAACCGCATACTGTCTTTCTGGCTGATCCCAAGTTCACTATTTCTCAAAGGCAATGATTTCCTCAATCATGTTTTCCATTATGGAGGAGGTAGGGAATAGGAACAGAGGAAGTAGAGCAAAGGTAGGTGTGAAAGGAAGGTGAAAGTGAGGCATAAGAAACAAACTTACTGACTGGATGAGAAGTAAAAGTCCTTTTTTCTTTTCTTACAGCAATAGGTAAATTGAGTGGAGAAGGAATAGGGTAATAGGGGAAGTACCTGATGAGGCAACAAGTTGGGGTTTATGGTTTACATTAGACTTTCCTTTGTTCTTTTTCTGGGTGTACACTTTTAGTTGTTTCTCAATAGATTCCACCTATTCTTTTGTTGGATTACTCAAACTATCTGTGACCATTGGAAGAGTAATAGGATTGTCAAGTGGCATAGTGAATATTGAATCTATTTGGAAAGAAAAATAAGGTATATTCCCAAACAAGTTAACATCCTTCCAGACATATTTTCTTTTAGTTTTCGGACAGTAGCACTTGTGTACTTTTTGAGAGTTTGAGTATCCTAGGAACACATATTTAGCAGATTGAGGTCCTAGTTTATTCCTAACTGGCCCTAGGTATGCGCAAAACAAATACAACTAGAGGTTTTCAGTGGAAGAGAAAACAGAGGAAGTGCATGATGGAAAAGTTTAAAAGGATAAGCAGCATTGAGAATAGGTGTAGGCATCCTATTGATCATATAAGTTGCGGTAAGAACTGCTTCATCCCAATAGGTCTTAAGAACCTTCTTTCTTATTAAAATACCTCTTTACCTAACAAAATGTCTATATTTGGGTTCTGCCACACCATTTTGTTGTGGTGTATAAAAACACAATGTTTGAGTTTCTATACCATGTTCAAGAAAATAATTTTTTAACCCATTCTTGATAGTCTCGTGCATTATTAGAACAAAAAATTTTAAGTTGGGTGAAATATTTTAACTACTAAAGGTACTTCATTGAAATCATACAAGGGAGAGTAGCCCCCCAAACTGCGGGGAGAGTAGCCCCCCAAACCGCAGGGGGGCTACTCTCCCTTGTATGATTTCAATAAAGTACCCTTAGTAGTAGCCCTGCGGTTTGGGGGGCTGCACATTGAAATCATACACGGGAGAGTAGCCCCCCAAACCGTAGGGCCACACAAGTATTTTGGCACCTAGGCAGTCTGGGCCCTGGCCACCTCCACCTTCTTGAATATTGCATAAGATAAATCCAAGAATAATGAGAGGAGCCATCGATGAATGAGATAAAATACCAATATCAAATGACTGGAACAGCCCCCCCCCCTTCCCCTCCCAAACATCAAAATGAACAAGATGGAATGGCTTAGAATTTCTATTTTCACTAGAAGTACAAGAGGTCCTACAATGTTTAGACAATTGACAGGTCTCACATTGTCGGTGAGGAACATTCAAAGAAACAAACATATCTGGAAACAATGACTTTAAAGATTTCAGAGACATGTGGCCTAAGAGGGTGTGCCACAGGAGGAATACAAGACTCAATGCTGAGAGCAATAGAAGTGCATCCTGTTTTGAACAAGTACAATCAATTGTTTTCATGACCACAACCAATCGTCTTTCTCGTCAGGTCCTGAAAAACACGATGTGAGGGGTAAAATGTGACACTGCAGTTAGTTGTTTTGTCAGGCTACTAACAGAAAGAAGATTGGAAGGAAAAGAAGGCACATGTATCTCAAAGAGTAAGGACAAGGATGATGAAAATTTATAAGTAGCACTCCTAAAGGCACTGGTCTTGGATCCCTAAGCAAGTTTAACACTACTTAAAGCAGGAAAAAAAGACAAGCAACCAACTCTTACCAGTCATATGGTCAGTAGCCCCTAAATCAACAATCGAGGGTGTAAAAGAGGTGGAGTTGGAGACATGGTATGCAGTTTCATATGTACCTGGCTGCTCTACTGGGGACTTAGAGTTGACTAAAGCCTTAGGAGCAGTCAACTGGTGCTGTAAATCTTTGATGGCCCGATCTCTTTGATCGTGTTCATTGGGTTTTGTGCATGAGGTTTCCTCCCCCTTGCCTGATGCAGTATGGATGCTTGTATTCCTCAATTTCAATCTCAAGTCGGACACAAGTCCCAACAATGCTCTCGAGTGTGACTCCTCTTACTACAATCGGAGCATTTGAGCTTCTCCTTTCCAGCAGGAGAAAGTGGTGGCATGATTTGGTCCTTTCGTACCTGCTTTTCCTTGCTTGAAGCTTGTTGCAAAGGCTAATCGTTCATAATGGATGTTGGAGTTTTGTCCTTCTGCAACAACCTTTCTACATAATTATAGATTGATTCAACAGTGAGCAAGTTGTTCTTTCTTAGAAGTAAGAACTTCTACTCTCTGGAGTTCAAAGTCAGGATGTAAGGCTTTTTAAGAATAGAAAGATCCTTCGTTGCTCGACCGGTTTTTTAATGTTATCAACATTGAGTTTAATAGGCTGATAGTGGTCTAGTTCTTCCCACTTATGCCTTGGTATCCCAAAGTACTCTTCCACAATCATTTCTCCTTGTTGCAAATTTGCTATTTCATGGTGCAATTGGTAAATCATAGCCATAGGATCTCGCTGTAAGTATGTCTTGGCTACTGCTTCCCACATATCCTTGGGATCCTTTAGAAGCATCAATCTCCTGCTGATACTTGGCTGCATGGAGTGAAGGAGCCAAGCCATTACTGTCAAGTTCTCACTATCCTATTCATCATAGGATGGATTATTTGTGGGATGCTCTTTCACTTTTTCTGTGATATAACCCAATCTCCTCCAAACAATTTGACAGATTGGGACTATTCTAAGTAGTTTGTCTCATCTAGCTGAACTGTAGTAATCATCAATCCTGGGTGGTTAGATCGATTGCTTCCCTAGGAAATATTGTGCTTGATTTCTGACATTTTCATTCTCTCTCGAACTTCAACCCTAAGGAATTTTTTTTTTCAAGGTACTAATTCCTTAGTTTCAAATGTGAGGTTGCTTGAAATGTGAGATTGCTGAAAATATGAGGTTGCTGGAAATGTGAGGTTGCTGGAAATATGAGATTGCTTATGCGCCACAGCTTCAAGCCCAAGAAGGAAGAAAAATCATGATTCTAAGGTCACCCGAAATACTGGATATCTTAGGGTATCAAGCCTTGCTTTGATAGCATGTTAAGATTGAGAGACAAAGGAGAGTGCAAATTCAAGCACAAGATAAAGATCACTTTATTAAAATCATGGGGCAATGTACCTTATATAGTTATAGCCCATTATGCATAACTGTTACATGGCTATTATAACCCATTATGCGAGTCTATTACATGGCTGTTACAGCCCATTATACAAGACTGTTACATGGCTGTTATAGCCCATTATGGAAGACTTTTACATGTCTGTTACTGCCCATTATGCAAGACTGTTACATGGTTGTTATTACCCATTATACAAGACTGTTACATGGTTGTTACAGCCTAGTATACAACACTCTTGCATGACTTTTACAGTCACAACATGGCCAAAATCCCAAAAAATCTAAAAAAAATATGCCTTGGGTTTCTCCATTATCGCTATTGATTAATCTTAATATTATTTTTAGTGCCACAAATCCACGTGACATATTGCAATGGAGTCCTAAGACCAGCTTTTTGTCTTTCAGAAACATTTGCTCTTCAATTTCAGTGTATTACAAAGCACTTCAGTGTTGGGAGATTGGTTCAACGGGGTTTAGGTAAAGTGTAGCGAGTGAGAAACAACGGAAGATGGGCAATGCTTTGTGGAGAGAGAAAGGAATTGGCGATGGAGAGATGGGAAGGGCCCAGCAAAGAGGGAAAGAGGGGCGGGAGGGGGGACTTGTTGCATGGGGGTTAGAACCTTTGGAAGAGACGATGGGTCCTGGTATAGAGAGATGGATGAGCATTGCTTTTAAGAGAGAGGACTTGTGTGCTATTGAGTGAGAGAAATATCTATTGATAGGACTGGCACTAAGAGAGAGAAATGGGTGGAAAGTAGCGGTTACCGGGGCAATGAATGTCCCAATAATTCTTGGGCGCTTATCTAAAATTGTACGCGTATACTTTGCTGGGTGTTACTACAATTATGTTTTGAATGCTTCCACTTTTTTTTTTTGAGAGCTAATTCTCACTAGCTATAAGACCATGTGTCACACTCCCACGCGTCTCGCTCAATTATAAACCGCTTTCACTTTAATTTATTATTTTTGAATGTTAGCTTGGGACCTGGTGAGAGTGGAAATGTAGACATCGCGTTGTGGCTCCTGCCACCCTGACCGCCTCTGCCTAGAGCCCATTCTCTCTTCTACTCAATTATTGGTAGTGAACAATAAATACTTTTTCCTTCTCGAGGCTGCATTCATGTTCCAAGCCAGGGCACATAGCCGTGAGAAGATCTACCAGATGCTCAAGAATTTTATCCTCCTACTCCCTTTACTTCTTCTTTAGTCACTAACCCACTAACCCAACTGAGAAGACCATAACTGATCCTCATAACTCCATGGCCACCTACCGAATAGAGCACACAATTCATCTCAACATGCTCTAATACAATCTCTTTATGCCTTTTCCTTCGTGTTGCAGCTTACCATGCCAAAGCTGTTTGCTGCAGGATCTTTCTTTGAGAGGGTTCTGGTTGCAAAATTGGATGACTTCACACAAGGCAGATGAGTGTAGAGTGATGATAGACTACATCTTGGACTTGGTTCATGAAGGGAAGTTCAAATATGAGTAAGCCCCTCTCCTCAATAAGAAATGTTATTCCGTTTGTCTACTAGTAAATTCAGGAGTTACTCATCATTCTCTTGACAATTTAGACTCTCTCACACACACACATCGCACACACAAATACACGTGCGTCTTCAAATGTACATGTGCCACATGGACTCAGCCATGTGCAAGCCAGTGTGGAAGAGAGTCTCTCTCACACACATGGGTCCTCAAATGTACATATGCGACATGGACTCAGCCACTTGCAAGCCAGTGGAAGAGAGAGAGAGAGAGAGAAAGAGAGGTCTTTGTTGGAATTTGTGACATTTATGGATTACATAGTGTCCATCATCCTAACTGGCTGATGTGTATGGCATTAGTTCGTATTGTTGTCAATGATGTCCTTCTTGGTACATATTTATATGTTGCTGATTTGTTGATCCTTTCAGGATGGAGCTGGTCCCCTTTCAGGATTTCCACAGGGCTCTAGATAAAGCACTTGGGAAGCTGGGAAATCATCCCAAGCAAGTTTTGAAATTTTGATGAAACAGAACATGCATCATGGAGTTCAAGAAGGGTCATTTTTGAGTTTGAATGGGTGTTGGTTTCCTAGTCTGTATTAAAAGAAGATACCAACTGAAATCAGCATTTACTTTGGCTCCCCCTTCCATCCATATCTGGACGAGAGCCCGAACACACATATTATATGTATTGGAGTTATGGAAACTTCTATATACTATAGTATTGGATGATAGGAATGAAAATGCACTGTTTTTTTTTTGACAATAGATAAAGCAACGTGAGAAATGCAAGGAGTCTCTCTCTCTCTCTCTTTCCACATGCATGTGAGTGTACCATGGTATGTGCCGGTCTCATCCATGTATGCACATACAAAGCAAAAATCTCTCTTGTACAACGGTATCGATTTATATCTTTATTTGTGTTTATTGAATGCGGCTTATTGGTGGAAAATTTGACTCTAGGCCCCTGAATTGGGACAAAAGATTGAGGATTGGCGAATAGCTCATAACACTCGGATCATGCTCCTGAGATCAAAATACTAAATGGCTAGCCTAGGAAGGAAAGGGAGAAACCAAAGATCCAAAGTTCAAAATGGCCAGCCCAAAATTTGCAAGAATTTTTCGGAGAGCTGTAAATAATTCTCTAATGGCTCCTGAATTGGGCCAAAGATTGAGATCAAGCTCCTGAAATCAAATACTAAAGAGCTCCAAGGGAACTCAGAGCTTGCAGGAAACGTAGGATGAGAAAAGAAGGAAGTGGTGAAGCTAATTGTACGAAGTCATTTTGGGCGTTTTTTTAAATCAGTTTGTTGGAACATTTTGATAGCGGTGAAGAACATATCAATTTGTTTTTACTGTGGTTTTGAGCAAATCTTTGAGCGTGCAACTTAGAAATTCAGGAGTACTTTCCTTATTTGGTTGTACTTGGAGTGTTCTCGCTGGTATGTTTGCATTTCGGTTTTGTAACCATTTGCATTTCGGTTTTGTAACCAAATTGGGGGCGTTAAAACACTTTGAAGAAAGATAGTTCTTATCGTGCCTCTAGATCTCAGATATACTCTATCTCTCTATGACAAGATTTTGAGCGGATAATGTTTTAAGGGAAAATATCTCCAAACACGGGGAGAGAGAGAGAGAGGGGTTTTGCTTTTTGGGTGCCTCTCTTTCTCCATTAATCCTGGTTTTCTTTATAAAAAAAGACTAGTTCTTCATCAATGGTTAGGATTGAGAATCACCCATTCTGGATCCGAACCTCGGAATTTGGATCCTATTCGGATCTAGGTGTGGATCCAAGATTAGGATCTGGATCTAAAATGTAGATCCAAATTAAAATCCAGATCGGATTTCGATGAGGTGGATCCAATCTGGATCCCACTTGGTTTTTAAAAATAATAATAATAATATTTATATTAACTGTGGCTAAGTGCTTTGTATTAGTAGGGTTTGAAGTTCCATGGCAGTTTGCGGATGGTGCTTTATTTATGTCAAGCGTGTCTTCTGGTATTTTGTGTTGATTTAGAGATAGAATCCATGTATTTCTTCAGCTACTTGCGTTCTCTCGGCTTAGAGAGAAAAAGTGCTCATGGGCTTCCATGAAGATTTTCACTCTCGGTGTTCTATGTTGTGTGTGAGCGAGAGAGAGACATTCATCAATATAGGAATGAGGTGCATCCCTAGGGTGAGTGTACACCTAAGTGGGCTACACCTTTTTTATATTTGACTTACATTACTACATGAAAAGAGGTGGGGAGAAGTTGCACATCTTCATAAGGGGGTTATCCTCCCATGAATGTCATGTACTATGCACATTCATGAGGAGGTTACTCCCACAAGAATGAGGGAAGCATTTCTGTCACTATAAAAAGGGAACGGGTAGGGGTTTCTACACACGACAATATATACACGAGAAAGGTATGAGAGGTGTGAGAGCTCATATTGAGAGAGAGAAAGTATGTGTGAGAGAAAATACAATTTCACTCTCATTCGAGTTCTAATGATAAAACCAGCTCTGAAAGATAGAGTTGTGTATGAGAGTCGAGCTCGGACTATTCTTCAATTGCATTTGTAAAAGTGCTTATGAGCTTCCACCTCACTCGGGATTTACGGTGTGGAACAAATTTCGATAGCGCTCTAGTAGTTGTCGAACGTGCCTACGAGAGTTGATCATTCTTCTCTACACTCATGCACCAAAACTCTTTTGCGAGCACTCTTGTATAATACTCGGTTCCTGGTTGTTTTATTTTGCTTCCGTTTTGGCCGTTGAACCTTTTTTTTTTCCAACATTGGTATGAGAGCCATCGTAGACCCGGGTTCCCGATTGTGCCCGCATTATCGTTCCGCCTTAATTTTTTTTGAAGGTTCGGTTATGGTTAGCGTATAATATTGCAAAGTGCACATGATGGTTATATTAAAACCATGAATAGGTGCACTATGTAACTTTATGTATCGACCATATAGTCACGCAGGCCTTACACATTGAGGAGTTGCCAGCCTTATGTATGGGCTATACAAGTTCATGCCTCATAGACCATGAGCATCATGGCTACTTGATTTTTATAGGCATCACATGCATGGAAGGCCCTAGTTATTTTTTTTTTAGCGTTTTAATGCTACAAATAAAGTTTTATTTTAGTGGGAATGCATCTAGGAAGGTGCACCGTGTGCAAAGTGTAAGGTATTTGATATGCAAGATCCAAAAAATAAACGTGGTAATGATTACAAGCAAGAGCTCAATGTGGCTAGGCGAAATTTTCATATCAAGACTTTTAATGGTCAAGTTTTTCGAAATAACTAGATAACAAGTATAAAAATGATAGTGCAATCATGGATCAAACATACCATCAAACATCTATATTAATAGGTACAATTTTGTTGTTTTGACTTAGAATGACTTCTAAAAATGTGATCGCGGATCTGACTAAAGGTGAAAAGTTGAGAGGGAGTAATTTTTCTATGTGGCATAGGAAAATATAATACATTCTAAATGAGCAAGGTACTCTTGAACACCTAACTACCATTAAGTAAAAACCTGAACAAATTGTCGCAGAGGAACTTCTCCATGATTATGAGGCATGGGACAATGTTGACCATAACACTCGCTTTACTTTGCTAAGTGCTATGGTTGATGACCTCATTCGCGAATTTAAGGGATTCATCACGGCAAAGGTTATGTGGGATGCGCTTCAACAGAAGTATGCTGACACTTCTGTTGCTCGGTTACGAGCCTTATCTATGGCTTTTGAGATGTATGTGGTATAGGAAAATGCAATACATTCTAAATGAGCAAGGTACTCTTGAACACCTACTACTATTAAGCAATCGCTCTAGTTGCCCATGCAAGCAATCCTCAAGGACATAAACCTTGAGGTAAGTCAAGGACTAGGGCACCTCAAAGGGAGGAGTAACTGAAGCAAGAGGCTGAGGAAAAGAAAAAGATCAAGTATAGGCGTTGGAGGCGCACAAGGGACAAATCTGAAATAACTTGCTATAATTGCGAAAATATAGGCTATCATGCATGCAAATGTCCTGAACCTAGAAATATACGAACTGATTTCCCTAATTATGCAAATGTTTGCACTCAGGCGCTTGTTGCTCATTCACAATTTACTGGGTGGATTATGGATTCAGGAGCGATGAGGGATATAACGAGTGATCGAGAAGAGTTTGTTGAGCCATAAACTTTGCGGGTTGGAAGCTAGAAGATCTTCATGGGGAATTACGCATCATAGGATGTGCTAGGGGTTGGAACTTGCCAACTTCGATTCTGAATTAAACGAACTTTTCTTCTCCATGAAGTTCTTTATGCTCCTGAAATGAGACAAAGTTTGCTTTCAATTCTATTTTTAGTCAGAGACGGATGCTTTATCAGTTTTATGCTTAGTTATGCTACATTTACATTTTCGGATCTGGATGGTTTTCACTATTATTGTTGGATTATGAATGACTTGTTTGTTTTGAATAATGATGATATTAATGTTTCACTTCCTTCTACCTTTAAGACATCTTCATCTTTTTCCACCTCTTCTATTAGGAAAAGATATGATGATCCGATCAACCAAAGAAAGATTGTTGCCTTTATCCAAAATAGATCTATCTATCTGTGAACTATGTATAGCTGGAAAATCAACTAGATAGCCCTTTCCTAAAGCAAATAGAGCAACCAGTCTTCTAGACATAATCATTCTGACATTTGTGGTTCATTTAATGAGATGGCCCATGATGGTTTTCGTTATTTTGTCATATTTATCGATGATTATTCTCGATATGGATGTATACCTAATCTCGCATAAATCACAAGCAATAGACTGCTTTCTTTGTTTTATGCTAGAGGTTGAAAATCAATTGGACAAAATAATTAAGGTACTTCGCATTGATTGAGGGAAAGATTACTTATCTGATCAAATTAAGAAGCTTTGTGAGGATAAGGGAATCTGTAGACAAGAGACGATGTCCAACACTCTATAACAAAATGATCTTGTAGAAAGAAGGAATCGTACTCTGTTGGACATGGTGAGGTCTATGATGACTCATGCCAACCTCCCATTATCATTTTGGGGAGATGAACTCCTTACTGCGATATATGTCCTAAACAGAGTGCCATCAAAATCCATTCCAAAGACCCCTTATGAGTTATCGATAAGTAGAAAGCCATATCTTTCCCAATTACATCCTTAGGGGTCAGTTGTACACGTTCACATCCCTTCTCAATTGATAGTGAAACCAGACAGGCGATCTCGCGAGTGCATTTTTGTCAGATATTCTGAGCACTTGAAGGGATATATTTTTGTCAAGAAGGTAATGGTGGTGAGATGAAAGAAATAGAGTCTCATGATGTAGATTTTATAGAGACGAAATTCCCTAACAAGCAACGGTCTTGTATGCCTGAAAAGCTCTATGAAGAGCCTAAATATCTGACATACATTGAGGTGCTTCTTTCGCTTGAAGGTAATAGTGGGAGTTTTCCCATTATTGTTAATGATAGTGAGAGTGAGCCACCGGTTGAGAATGAGCAACTGACCTACATTGAGTCACCGACTATGCTAGAGGCACCTATTGAGAGTGAATCGCAAGTCGAACTTCGAATGAGTCAACGTTGAAAAGTTCCTAATAGACACTTCGAAGTAGAGGGTCTTACATGCATTTTATTTGATGTTGATGAGCCTAGCTCATTCCAAGAGGCCTTGAATTCTCCTGTTGTGAAGCAGTGGATGTTTGTTATGTAAGACGAGTTTAGTTTCATGGAGGAAGCAAGTGGGTCTTGAAAATCAAGAAGAATGTAGATGAAACTATAGATAAGTACAAAAGCCCGCTTAGTTGTAAAAATGTTCACCCAAATTGAGGGAGTTGACAACGATGATACATTATCTCCGGTGGTGAGAATGACATCGATTCGCTTAATCCTAACAATCGTCGCACATATAGATATGAAACTCTTCTAAATGGATATGAAC